GCCTTTCTCCTTACCTTCAGGAGGTCTAAGTGCCTCACAGTGAACTTGAAAGTCTTTGAAGTATGCTCCTCTCTCCACTGAAGCTCAGACCCCGCCCCCCCAAGCTCAAAAAACCTACTGCCATCGAGTTGATCCTGACTCCCAAAGACCCTATAGGACTGAGGAGACCCGCACCACAGGATGTTAGAGGCTGTGAATCTTCACAGGAGCAGACAGCCTCCTTCTTCTTCTGAGGATTGACCAGTGGGTTTAAATGGCCATTCACAGCTCTGTGCTTAAACCATTGCACCACCAGGGCTCTTTCCACAACCTCTGGTGGCTCTTTAGGCAGTGCAGTGGTTACACGTTGGGCTTCAATCTGCATGGTCGGCAGTTCAAAACCACCAGCAGCTCCTCAAGAGAAAGACTGGGCTTTCTACTCCCATCAGCACTTACAGTCTCAGAACCCCCCAGGGGTCTCTATGAGTCCGCATTAGCTCGATGGCAGTGTGACTGAGTTAAATGCTCTTTGCTGCCAGAGGAAGGCAGCGGCAGTCCAGGGTGAAGATCCAAGGCCAGGTCTGAAGCCCATTCGTGGTGATGTGGTCCCGAGGCCTTTGCTAAGTCAACTCCCCTTTCCAGGTCTCAACTTCTGCATCCATTGGATGCAGTGAAACCCCTACCTGATGGGGCTTTGGATCAGACGAGTGAGGTCCCGGATGTAGAGGTTCCCCCGCCTGCCTTTTTGAGAGTGGTCGTTGCTGGGGGTGTTGTTACGTACCATGGGGTGTGTTTCAACTCATACCAGCCCTTCTACGGTCAGCAGGATGGGCTGGTCCTGCACCATCCTCACAATCATGACCATGCACGGAGACCAAGCCATCTTGTCATTGAAGGACTGCCTCTTTTTCCATGATGCTCTACTTGATTAAGCCTGATGGCCCTCTCCAGGGATAGTAGGAGTGGCAGGTCACCCTCATCATGGGGCTGCCATGGTGAGGTTGTCACGGAGTGAGTTCTCATTCATGGAAACCTACTCCCTAGGGTATTCAAGGCTGTGGCCTTTTGGAAGCCGATCACCAGGCCTGTCTTCCCAGAAACCTTTGTGTGGGTCTGAATCCCCGGCCTTTGGGTGAGTGGTGGAGAGCTGACGTGTTTGCTCTGCCCAGGGACTGCCTATATCCTCCTGTGGTCACTATTACTGTGGACGGACACAGTGGTGACAATGGGCTCAGACATAGCAGTGACTGTGAGGCTGGTACAGGACTGGGCAGTTTTCCATCTGCTGGACATTAGGTCCTCCTGAGTCAGAATGGACTTGACAGTCACTCACATAGCACCAACCCTTAGCAGTAACCGGGCACTAGCTATGGACCAGGCTCTTGCTGACAGCTTTGAGGGGCTGTCCCATTTTGTGCTCATAGGGATCCTCACAGCAGTTATACTGCACCTTTTACAGGTATGGCAAACTGAGTTTCTCAGGTCCTCTGAACTGCCATGGTCACTCTGATAGTGAGTGGCAGGACAGGGAGGGCATGCAGAACCAATGAGTCACCAATCTGTGGCCTCAAACCACCAACCAGGCTCCACTCCAGGGAGCCTGCTTCTCTGCTGGTAGGGCCTGGCTTCCTGCGGTGCTTGACTAGAGGCCAATTTAGACATGGAGTTAGTCGCCCTCCCTGGGCTAGCAGTATTGCGATCGAGAACTGGAAGGGTGGGTGGGCTCTGTATTATGAGACAGAACCAGTCCAATGGCTCCAACAGAGCTCAAGCCCACGGCTGTGGCCACCCAAGATGCTAAAAGCACGTGAACTTGGAGCCAGAAGATTCAGTCCTGCTGGTCTCCAGCTGCATGACGTTGAAGAGTCAGCTCACCTCTTGGAGCTGGCGTCCCCATCTGTAGAGATGGGAATAACTGGGCTGCTGTGGCTTGATGTGTGCCCCCCCAGCGCCTCGCCCAATATGTAAAAGTCCTTAAGTCCAGGAGCTGTTGGGAAGTAAGGTTTCTGAAGGTGTTTATGAGTTAAGGTGGCGTGAATCCTAAAGGCAGAGGGTGCATCTAACCAATGAGGGGTGTTGAGTGGTGTCTTGCTAAGAGTTTGGGCGACAGAGAGGAGGAGGATGGTCATGTGAAGATATCTGCATATGAGTCTGCATCGGCTGGGTGGTGGTGAGTTTGGCCTGGTTTGGGGGAGGATTGTCTGGGTCTACTGAAGCAGAAGACAAGGCTCTTTCCCTAGAGGTGCAGGAGACAGGACGGTCCTGCTGATGTCTGGATTTGGGCTTCTGGTCTCAAGTGTGAGATGGTATATGAGGGGTTCCCCCCACAACACAAACACACACACACCGGAAAAGCTCCACTGGGCAGAGCTTTCGTAGCACTCATTCCCCCCTCCCTCACCCCACCATAGGTGAGTATCCAGCAACTTGCTCTGAGTTAGTGTACCCAGGGGTGTCGCCTCGGAAGTTTCTCTCTTGTCACAGTTAATTTTTTCATGAAAGCAGTTTTGCTTGAAACTTGGTTGTGTGTGTGTGTGTATGATGGCGGATTTAAGAGAACAGCGTGACACTGTGAAATTCTGTTTCCTGCTTGGGAAAAATGCTGAAGACGCTTGTGATGTTGAACACAGCTGACAAGGACAGTGCTATGGGAAAAAACTTAAGTGTATGAGTGGTTTTCTCATTTCCAAAACGGTGAAATATTCACTGATGACAAACCTGGTTCTGGTTGTCCATCAATTTCCTGAACGGACAAAAATGTTAACTCGTAGTTCAGTTGGAGTTTTAGTTCTACCAGGTCAGACTGTTAATCAAACTTTCTATTTAGAGGTTCTGAAAAACTTACGTAACATTGTTCAGCAAAAAAGGCCTGATTTGTGGCAGACGGGGGACCGGTTTTGCCACCACAATGTACCTGCTCATGCAGCCATCTCGGTGCGCCAGGTTTTTGGCAAAAAACAGCATGCTTCTTTTGCCCCACACACCTTAGTTACCTGACCTCACTCTGTGTGACTTCTTTTTGTTTCCTCAGATGGAGAGGGACATGAAAGGGCAGCGATTTGATGACATCATAGAAGAGGTGAAGAAAAAAACAAGGGAGGTGCTGTCAGCCATCCAAACAGATGAGTTTGAAACATGTTTCCAAGAATGAAATCACAGATTTGACAAAGGTATGAAGTGTGATGGAGGATACTTTGAAGGTGATAAGGTTGTTTGTAAAAAAAATTTTAAATATGTAGCTCTGAGGAAGGAAAAAAAAATCAGGGCTTTTTGGGGGGTTGCCCCTTGTACTTCTGTTCTTACATGTCATGAAGTCCCTGTGAGTCAATATCAACTTGACAACCCCTGAGGACCTATCAGCTGTAAGGGCAGCCACAGGGAACGAATTCACTCATATGCACCACATGCCCCACCCCATGGGTGGTTGTCAGGCCCCAATAATGGGGACCGAGTGAAAAGCCCTGATGTCCTTCTGTCTTTAAGTCTGTTGACCAGCAGCACTGGGCTCCCTCTCATCGAAGTTGAGGACCTAGGTCCATTGGCAGCCTTTACCCGCCACAGGGAGGTCCGAGGTGGTCACACCAACAGTTACCATAGGTGGCCACTCACTGGAGGTTGGAGGCTTGAGTCCACTCCAAGGTGCCTCCAGAGAAAGGCCTGGTGATCCGTTTCTGAAAAAGCGGCCAGAAAGCCCCACGGAGCCCGTCCCACTCCAGCCCACCTGGGTCTTTGCCATGGGTGGGCCGGACACCACAGCAGATGACTTTCTTGACCTCCCGTGTTCTCTGCTCCCCTCCCATTGCCCCCCAGGGTGGCTCCAGATGCGGGGAGAGGCTAAGCGCTGGCCTGGTGCGTGTTCGAGTTGCTGCTAAATCAGAACCTGAGTAGGCCGTGGTGCGTGCCACAGCAGAGCTGTGGGCCACGGTGGTCCTTCTGCTGGGTGGTCACTCATGGGCAGCTGCCTCCCAAGAGCACCTGGAAGGACTGACACCCCCCCTACCCCTCCAGGGAGCTAGTCTGAGGATCACAAAGGCAGTTTCCTCTCTTGATAGAATTTCAATCAGTGGGCTTGAAAAAAATCATTGCCAAACAAAAATCAGTTTGGGTTAAGAGCCAAGAAAGAAAGACTCACAAGGGAGCAGCAGAGAAAAGGCGTCTAACCCCCCAGCTGCACAAAAACAGGCACGACTAGCTTTGGTTTTCTTTTGTCCATTGCACCTTTATTATCAGGATTATTATTTTTACTCTGTGCACCGTTCAGAATTCTCATACAGCCTTTCTGGAATACACAGAATCTGGTAAGCGCCCTCCCCCAACACCATTGTATTGCCAGCAGGCTTCCTTTTAGCCCTTGCCCTGGCTTGACGTTTATTCGGTCAGCACCCAGGGCGTCCCTGGGGTTGTTGATATTCATGGGGAGGGAAGAGGTGTCAGGTCTGTGCCCTGGCCCCTCTTTCAACTGTCCCCCTGCAGCCTCTAAACCCTCAGGAGGCCAAGGAATCAAGTCAGATAGAGGGTTGAATCTTGCCTCCGTCACAAATAGCCACGGGGACACCAGGGAAGCAGCCTGCTCTCTCTGAACCTTTGTTTCTTCTTTGAGGCTATGGGAGGAAGGGTCCTCAGCCCACAGGGTCCCTGTGGGATTCACTGACCTAAGGAGTGGGCAGTGCCTGGCACAGCATACACCCTCGGTACCTGCTGAATCAATGTCAGAACCAAGTGCTCAGGGATCTGGTTCCTTAACAGAGCCCTAGAAGTCACTGTCTAACGGTGGAATTTCAGATGCTGTCATGGGGGAGAGGGAGATACCTGGTAGCCGAGACTCCGAGGTGGTTCCTCTCCCACCCATGGGCAGGGCTGATGCTGGGCTGGGCTGGGGGCACTGGGAGAAGGGATATAGACCTTTTCTTTAAGACCAGGCCTGGATAGCCAGGTAAGAATCCAACTCCCGGAGCTGGGGGGAATTCACTGGTGCAATTATCATGGCTAAGGAGGGAGCAGCTTCCCGTGGGTGGAAACCGAGGACTTTCAGATGCGAAGCAGGCCTTTGCGGCTATTCGAAGTCCCCTTCTAGGGCCCTTGAGAAGTCACCTGTCATGAGGCTGTCCTCAGAGCCTAAGGAGCCCAGCCACCCAGCGGGAGCTCCCCAGTCACCTACTTGGAGAGGCCGGCTCGCTGAGGAAGGAGTTATGCACCGGACAAGAAATCTGCCTCTCACTGTGTTGCACGCCTACCTCCCTGTCTGGGCCGATGACAACCACCACCAGCCACACAAATGGTCCCAAGAAGGGGAAAAAAATCACAATGCTGTCAAGACAAAGGTGAGTATTCCGTCTCCCAGGGGCTCTGCAGAGAAAGCCTGGCTCCTCTTCCTTCCGGGCAGTGCCGGGGGTTCAAAGTCCACCTCTCACTCCCACTCTGCCCCTGTCTGTGCAGAGGCAGGGCAGGGGGCGGGGGGCATGGCCTGCAGGCGCCCCGTCCACTCCACATCTAGACCCGAACGGCCAACAGACCATTGTAAGTCATGTACCCACAGGCTGAGGCTGGTATTATGTGGAAATGTTCTCCAGATGAGAGAGAGAGAGAGAGCGCTTCAACAAGAGAGAAGTAGAATGAACATGGCCACACAATAAACAGCTGCAGTCAAGATGTGCAGCAGAGGAAACCGGGGAAAGTTCTAGCCGCCTGGGAGCGCTTCTCCGAGTATTTGGTTCATGCTAAAAAATAGAGCACATTTATTAAAAATATATATTTATAAACCTCGATCGGAACACACACCCACGT